CCCTTTGTACTGATTCACCCGAAATTTTTTTATTTTATTTTTGTTTTTTTTATTTTTTATTATTTATAGAATTAAGAATCAGAGACCCTAGTTTTTATTTTTATTTTTATTATTAAGAATTTCACATGATTCACATTTATTTTAGTTTTTATCTTACTTTGATTGTAAATATATATAAAAAAAAAATTACAATTTGTAAGATATTGTATGTATATCAGTTATATGTGGATTTTTTTGTGTTGTGTGTGTCAACATTTTTTGTCTGAATTTCAAAATTTATGGTTTCAATTTGCGAATGTTATTTTAGTATTAAAATAAAATATTATTAAAATCTATATTTGATTCTTATATTTGCCAATTATTTTAAATATATATATAAAAAATTACAATTTGTAATATATTGTATGTATATCATTTGTGTGTGAATTTTTTGTGCCGTGTGTGTCAATATTTTGGGTTTGAATTTCAAAACCTATGGTTCCAATTTGCGAATGTTTATTTTGGTCTTCAATAGAAATATTATCAAAATTTATATTTGGTTCTTATATTTGCCAAGTATTTTAACCGACCTTTTCAATTCAACAAATCAAAATTGTCATTCATTGATTTTTTTGTTTGCCTTTTAATTTGATAAAAAAAAAAAACTAATGTTTAGTTGGATTTTTTTTATGTGAAAAAATAAAAACAAAAATCTAATATTAGTTGGATTTTTTTTTGTTTTTCGTTGAAGCCCCGCTAGAATTCAATACTGGCTCCTCCCTGCTTACGAGCTGTCCTCTTCGGGAGTATAATGCAACTACTTCATTTCATTATCTTAATTGAATGATGGTTTGAAAATTGACATTCAAGCTGTCCTCTTCATCAAATCCAATTCATTGCAGGTCTGACGTTTATAGGAATATGAATTCGTAGTGAGGGAGAATAGTTCCGCTGTGCGGCACATGGAGTATGAATATGGACAAATATCGTGATTCACACACACATACACATCTAACTGTGTATATATGGACAAATATCGTGATTCACACACACATACACATTTAACTGTGTATGAATCACGATATTTGTCCATATTCATACACTTATCTCAGATTCTCAATCCTAGTCCCATAAAATTTAAAATTGGGACTGGTCCTACTAAACTCACACGTGGCCTAGCTTTTTGGTGTCATTTGTCTCTCGCCGATCACTATCTTAACATTTTTTTTTTATTAATTCACAAGAGAGCCCAGATTTCAAGTAATTTTTTAAAAATATTTTAGGATTTCCAAGCTCACTTTTCATGACGCGTGGTGTGATTCCATTAATTTTTCATGGTGTTGGTTGTAACGCATTTGTCAATAAATTTTAGAGGACTAAATGTACTCACACCAGATATAGTACTAAATTTTCTTATGTATTTTCACTTTAACTTAATTTTCTAATTAGTAAAATAATAATATACACTCTATTCATGTTGTTTTTGTTAGAAAAATTAATAGTATTTTTAAATTTTAAGGATGCATAAAAAGACTAATAAATTAGATTGTGATGTCCACATCGTTTTGAGGAAGAAGTTCTTAATATTTTGTATATGAGATTCTTTTTTTTTTTTTTTTTTTAAGTGTGTCAACATATTTTGAATAAAATTATAAATACCGAGATAAAAATGTGCAAAATAAATACAGAGTAATAAATGATATTAGAATTAATTTCAAATCCAAAGTAAGTGATGTGCCTGTACAATTTAGGCTAGCAGAGAATATCTATCTACACTGGTTGAGACTTTTCATGACATGGATTGAATTGTTTGAGATAAAAAAAAATCATTAATTACAATTTGATGCTGCACCCTATTATTATTATTAGGGTCAAATGCTCTCACACTTTCTCAAGTTTCAATTTATTACTCTTATATTAAATTTCAGTCAATTTTGTTAATACACCCAAAGTACAGTGAAAAAAACAGAAAACAAACCATGGTCACCCTAATCACCACTACTGCCACCACACCGCAACCACATAATACAAACCATGGCCATCACTATTTCTACAATGTCATTCAAATAGAATTTATATACATACATATACATATATATAGAAACAAAGTTTAGTTTACCCAAAATAATAAAAAAAAAAAAAATGATATAATAGAATTTTTTTTAAAAAAATCAATTTTAGTTTCCAAATAAAAAAAAAATCTATTTTATTTCCCTTCCATTTCTCGACAACCAAACAAAGAGTTGGTTTACTTAAAAAAAAAAAAAAAAAAAAAAAAACCTCCTCTTTGGTTTGCGAAGCCATGTCGTAGTTTCTTATCTATCGAACCTCCTCTTACAAATCCCTCAAGTCCTCCATCGACAAAGCCTCCAAGAAGCTCGAGTCATGAAGACCGACTCAAACCCACCAAAACTCACCGTCAAAATATCTAAAACGAAGAAGATCGATCGCGTCGAGACCAATCTTAAGGAATCGAGTCACAATCTCTCTCTTCGAATTCAAGTCAGGGTGTTGTGGTTGCCTTAGTCCTGTTCGTCGTGTTTGAATTGTTCAATTCATTGTTCGAAGGCAAGGCTGTCGCGAAATTGCCCTTCTTGCCGGCTCGAATCGTGAAGAAGAGATTAGAATTATGGGCTGTTGTGGCGTCTATAAGGAGGTGGAGACGGTGGTTGGTGGTGGTGATGGGTGGTATTCAGTGATGTGCAAACTTGGAAGTGGGTCTTTGGATTGGCGATGGAACCAGTGATCAGTTGGGATGGAAAGGGTGAGGAATAGCGAGATAAAAGGAAAAATAGAAATATTTTTATTGGGTAAAGGTTGGTGGGTAAAATGGTCATTTGTTATTTTTAGATATTTTGATTTTTTAATAATATAATAATAAGAGTAGGTAAGTAAATTTATTACAAAATCTGACATGGGTATTTCTGTAACAAAATAGTAAATCGTAAGTTTAGTTACAATGAGTCCAAATTTTTGGAAAGGCCATTATAGTTTGTCTTTCGTTTTTTTTTATTTTTATTTTTTATTTTTTATTTTTTTAGGAGGTGTGAGAGTAATTTTAACTTAACTTAATATGAGAGCAATACGTCAAAACTTGAGAGTGTGTGATCATTTAGCCTTATTATTATTATAATTACTGGTATTTACGAAATTTGGAGTAGAAAGTGAATTTGAAAGACATGTGGGCCATACCCTTTTGATAGAGTCAAAAAGAAAACACCATGAGCAATGATAAAGCTTTTAGGAGAACGAGCCGTCAAAAAACTGACACGTTTAATGGGACCCGCTGATCCCTCTTTTGGCGAAAACCAAATCAAATTTATATTTTTGTTTATTTTGAGATTTAGACATTTGTTTGTCTCTTGCATTTACACTTCCCCACCTACCCCTTTCAATTACCAAAATGTTCTTATTTCGCAAATATTTTTCCCGCCTTAATTTTTGGAACAAATAAATGAATAAATATATTTTTAATGACAATAATGTCAGTAGTTGGAGGAAAGAAGGTATTGAGTGTCGCGCACCAGATACATCCACTATTTATTATCAATTTGTTAATAAGAGGAAGGTACGAGACTCGAAGATATCTACTAACACACTAACACTTTATTACTAATATTGATTTAGTAGCGGTCCAGCCGTGTCATTTTTTCTTATCTAAAAAGAAAATGGGGTTCAAATCTCGATTTTGTGTGTAGTTACTTTAACTTCAAAAAAAAAAAAAAATTTGTTGATTTAGTAAAAATTGTTCTTTTATCAATTTTTTAAAAATAATTTTTTGTAAATTAATACCAAAATTCAGATGCACTAATTTACTAAACTATCTAGACATGTGCTAATACTAAGAGCACTTGAACAACAAATATTACTAATACTCGTGTAGAACTATCTATTTCATTAAACTTCCCTTTTAAAGAGATTTTTTTTTTTTTTTTTTGATGCTCATACTTTATTATTAAAAAAAATAAAACTCGACCAAACATTTACATCTCCCTTAATATCAAATGTGCCCTCAATTTTTATTTTTTTAATAATATTTTTAAATTATTTTTTTAATATTAATTTGATTAAACAAGTGAACTAATTACGAAATATTATTTTTATTTTTAAAATTTTTTTTATCAATATAATAAAAAATTATTAAAAATTCACCATCATAAAGAATTGTATTTTGAAAATTTTCAAAAATATTAGAGACAACTTTTTTCATAGATTACTTGACATATAAAGCCAAACAATCCTCCAGATAAGTAATAATATGGTCTTTAATCTTTTGCTACTTATTTCATAATATCTCCCTTATTAATGCTATACAAACAAAATACTCCGAAGCTGTAATTTTATGTTGAATAAAGGTATACCATTTATTTCTCTCTCTCTAATTAACAAAAAGACCATAAATATATATATATATATATATATATATATATTTAAAATAAGACATAAATACATTTTAATGTAAAAAAATTAATCACACCACCCTCTGTACACACAAACAACTTAGGAATTATGAACACACCCATATGACCATAAGAATTTTTTTTTAAAGAAAATAATAATATAATATATCATTCTCTCTATTTTAATTAAGTATTATTTATGGAGAGTATTAATTTTTAAGAGAATACTTCGGTCATGCATTGTCTATTTAAAAAGTTATTAATTTGTCCTTTAAATTTTGAAATTTTAAATTATAAACTCAAAAACAAATTTAGAAAGGTGTAATATATTGTTTGAAAAAGTAAAGTGGACTATTATTTTAGGACAAGGAAATTATTATATATAAAATCAATCCCACGTGTTGTCTCTTAAAAAAAATATACATATTTAAATATCAAGATATTATTATCCGTGTATACGTGTCCAAGTGTTCAACTCGTTGCGGCATATAACACGCGTATAAGCTAATACAAGTAGTAACTGCTGCAATGGGTGTCACCGTATTTCTCAAGGGTATTTTCGTCACAAAAATTCCCGACACTGAGTAGTGTAAATTGATGGGGACAAGGGCATCCAAAGTAACACGCACACGCAGAGAGCGCCTTCTTCATCCCCTCCCTCTCTCTAACTGCTAAACCCCACAAACACCTTCTCTACCCCTCTCTCTCTCTCTCTCTCACACACACACACACACACAGACACACACACACTTGAACAGTTAAATCTCTCTTCACCTGTAAGAGATAAGGCTTACAGTACTTCCGAAGTCTCCATACAGAGTTCTCTCTTCCTATTCGCCCCTCTCTCTACACACGCAATATATATATATACACACCCACACACATATATGTAAGCTATTTGTTGTTGGTTTCATTTCTCTACAAACAAAAGACAACCCATCAAAGAGACGGCTAGAATCATAATGTTATCTCACAGGTCGCTGATATTTTCTCTTCTAGCCACCTTTCTTCTCCTTTCCGCAACTTTTGTTTCCTTCTGCCATGGAGGGACTCACTTTCCCACCTTCCAAACAGTACCATCTGCGGGTACCCCTATTTATCCACCAAACTAGGTACTATTTTAAATGGGTTACTGTTGAAATTTTCTCACTGATTTTCTCTTCCACTTTCAGGGAAAGTTGATGAGGGAAAATTTGATGGGGTTGTTTCTTGGGGTCCCAAAAGGTTTCTTGCTGAGGAACCTGTTGGGAACTCTTCTATTGCGTTGGCTGCAAAAAGGACATATAGAAAAGACCCTCTAGATGGGTTCAAAAGGTATACAGGAGGGTGGAATATCAGTAATCACCATTACTGGGCGGTAAGATCTCATTTATTTTAAATGATTATTTCCGTTTGTTGTGATATATTTAATGATTTTTTTCCTTTTTTTTTTTTTTTTTTTTTTTTTTTTTTGTGACATATTTGATGATATATATTTTTTTCCTGTTAGCAATAGATGTTCTTCAATTCAGTCTTTCTATGTTTGATGGTGCTTGATATTACTATTATACCTGATCTGTTGATCTGATTGAATTGGTAAGGGTTGATAGATCTAAGTTGGGGAAGGTGTGTAAAGGTGTGGTGGTTCCAGTTGATGTAAAAAGGGTGATTTTGAAATTTTGGAAATAAGTGTGGGCCATTCTTGATCAGGGGAAGAAATTGTCATACATATCTTAGCTGGCAGTACTTACCTTTAAAATAAAGAAAATACCTTAGCTGGTGGTAAAGCTAGCATAATGGTATAATTGACCTAGGATAGATAAAGAACCTTGATATGGAAATATTATATAATTTTGTAGTGAGATGAAATATTATACGTCTATGTGGCATAAATGCAGTCCGATAAGTTTGACTTTCGGATGACCTATCAATTTTTAAAAAAAATTCAAATCAGAGTCCCACTGGTAGTTCATATTTTCCATTGTCAATGCTTGTGATGACAACTCACTGATAGTGTTGTGATGCATATGATATGGTTATGTTCATCTTAGTCCCATCTCAATTGGGAAAAATTATTGGAAACCCCAGGTGTACTCAATAATGTTGGTATCTCTAGGGTACCCTATGATTTCTCCTCAAGTGCATATGGGGTATTAAACAAAGTGTGGTGGAAATGTGAAGTTGATGAATGATTGCCTTACTTTGCTGTTGATCTGGTGGAGTTGTGTTATTGCCACACATTTCTAGCACTAGACCAGTAGAAAAGGGCCTAATAGGTCAATTTGCTTGGGCTTTTAAAGTCTAAATATTATTAGACTTTCTTCTATTTCTTCCACCAAATAAAATATACATTAGAATATTAGATACCGCGGATTGTGATTCTTTTTAAGTGTCCAATTCATCCAGATAAACAGACCGCTAACATGATTTAACAAATTAACACCATTATTGGTTGTGTTGAATAATGGCATTGAACTAACAAATGAATGCGGTCTGGTTATATTGCTAAATTACTTCACAGAAAATATAATTTATTGGACACATAAAATGAGTCTGGGAGCAATCCTAATGCAGTAATAAGCTTTTGAAATCAAGTTTCTCTCTCTCTACTAGTCTCAAACCTTGGCCGGTGGTTCATGGTTCAAGCCATAAGCCAACATTAGGGTGAACCGGGTTTGAAATCAAGCTTGATGATTTATGAAATATCTAATTTCCTTTGGTGCAAACCATTTTAGTTCTAATATTTGTGAAGATCAGTATTTTTTTAAATAGGTTAGACTGAATCATTTAGCGTGTGGAAGTTGAGTCGTTGAAGCTATGAACCCTGTTATTTTATAGCCAGTCACATGTAAATCATAATAAAGTAAAAAAAAATTATAACATGCCAATTTTTCGGGGGTGAGGTTGGGGATGGAGAGAAGACTGGAAGTGCGAGGGAGCAAGGACGAATCCAGGAATTGTCAATGGGGGGCTAATATTAAATATAAATTTAGGTGAGGTTAGATGCTCTGGTTGCCCTTCTCTCTCCAAATGCAAGCTCGGATGTTTTCGGATCTATCAACCGAAAAACTTAGAAGTCTAGCCGTTCATACGAATATCTATCGATGCCAGTTGATGTATTGGGGATTTAGGGTTTGTTTGGCTTGGGCCTTTGTTTTAAAACTGTGGCTTAGCTCTTGGGCTTGTTTGGATAGGCTAATATTTGAGGGCTAATACTACTGCTAATTTGTTTGTTTGTTTTTTTTTTTTTTTTTTTTTTTTTTTCAATTGGGCTAAATTTACCTATAGGAATAAATAAAAAATAATAATTTTTTGGGGGGGGGGGGGGGGTGGGGGGGCTCAAGCCCCCACCCGAGCCCCCATGCATCCGCCCTTAGGAGGGAGTGTGCAAGGGCGGATTTAGGGGTGGGCTTTGGTAGGCTTGAATCCATCCTAAATTTTTTTTTTTTTTTTTTTTTTAAAAGGCAATTTTAGCCCAGCCCAAAAAAAAAGAAGAAAAATATTACTAGTATTAGCCCACCCCATTGACAATTCTTGGATCCGCCCTTGGGAGTATGCATGGGTATTAAAGACAAGTTAAAAGAATAACATCAGAAGTTTCCCAAATCTATTTTCATTCTACAATTGGAAAGAGAATCTGTTGTTCGGAGGGGTAGTGGATTCTTTTCACCTCCTTCATATTTTTTTGGGGGGGCTCAAGCCCCCACCCGAGCCCCCCCTGCATCCGCCTTTGGGAGGGAGTATGCAAGGGCTGCTTTAGAGGTGGGCTTGAACCCATCCCAAAAAAAAAAAAAAAGAAAAGTTTTTTTAAAGGCAATTTTATTCCAGCCCAAAAAGAAAAAAGAAAAGTATTATTAGTATTAGCTCACCCAAAGAAATATTAGCCCTCCCCATTGACGATTCATGGATTCGCCCTTGGGAGCATGCATGGATATTAAAGACAAGTTAAAAGAATAACATCATAAGTTTCCCAAATCTATTTTCATTCTACACTTGGAGAGAGAATCTGTTCTGAGGGGTAGTGGATTCTTTTCATCTCCTTCATATTTTTTTGGGGGGTCTCAAGCCCCCACCCGAGCCCCCCCTTACATCCGCCTTTGGGAGGGAGTATGCAAGGGTGGATTTAGGGGTCGGCTTTGGTGGGCTTGAACTCATCCCAAAAAAATATATATATATATTTTAAAGGCTATTTTAGCCCACCCCTAAAAAGAAAAGAAAAGTATTACTAGTATTAAGCCACCCAAATAAATATTAGCCCACCCTATTGACAATTCTTGGATCCGCCCTTGGGAGTATGCATCGGTATTAAAGACAAGTTAAAGGAATAAGATCAGAAGTTTCCCAAATCTATTTTCATTCTACACTCGGAGAGAGAATCTGTTCTGAGGGGTAGTGGATTCTTTTCATCTCCTTCATATTTTTTTGGGGGGGCTCAAGCCCCTACCCGAGCCCTCCCCTGCATTCGCCTTTGGGAGGGAGTATGCAAGGGCGGATTTAGGGGTGGGCTTTGGTGGGCTTGAACCCATCCCAAAAAGAAATTTTTTTTTTTTGAATGCAATTTTAGCCAGCCCAAAAAAAAAGAAAAGTATTACTAGTATTAGCCCACCCCATTGACAATTCATGAATCTGCCCTTGGGAGTATGCATGGGTATTAAAGACAAGTTAAAAGAATAATATCAGAAGTTTCCCAAATCTATTTTCATTCTACACTTGGAGAGAGAATCTGTTCTGAGGGGTAGTGGATTCTTTTCATCTCCTTCATATTTTTTTGGGGGGCTTGGCTCAAGCCCCCACTTGAGCTCCCCTGCATCCACCTTTGGGAAGGAGTATGTAAGGGCGGATTTAGGGGTGGGCTTGAACCCATCCCAAAAAAAAAAAATTTTTTTTTTTTAAAAAAAGGCAATTTTAGCCTAGCCCAAAGAAAAGGTAAAGTATTACTTGTTTTAGCCCACCTAAAGAAATATTAGCCCACCCCATTGACAATTCCTGGACACGCTTTTGGGAGTATGCATAGGTATTAAAGACAAGTTAAAAGTATAACATCAGAAGTTTCCCAAATATATTTTCATTCTTCACTTGGAGAGAGAATCTGTTCTGAGGGGTAGTGGATTCTTTTCATCTCCTTCATAAATGTAGGCACATTGTTAAACAACAGATCTCACCATGTTTGTGCTCGACTTATTCAGTTATTTAGAGTCCATATTTATGTATTTCGTGAAAATTTTAAATCTTGTGCTGATTCTCTTAGCTGAGTTTTGCTAATACACACACACACACACACACACACACACACAGAGATGATAACATTACATAAAATTTTGATTTGTTTATGGTTAACCATGCTTATATAAATTTTTTCCTGCCTAAATTTGTTGAATGCAGTCTGTTGGTTACACTGCTGCTCCTCTGTTTGTCATTGCGGTACTCTGGTTCCTGGGCTTTGGCCTGTGCTTGTCGCTCGTCTGCCTTTGCTATTGTTGTTGTTCAAGGGAGCCTTACGGCTATTCTCGAACGGCTTACGCTCTATCTCTTATTTTCCTCATGCTCTTCACTGTTGCTGCAATGTATTTTCTCTCTCTTTCATATATATATGTGTGTGTGTGTGTGTCTGTGTATGTATGTATCATTATTTATATGTTTCACTGTGATCATTTGTGACCAAGCTAATTTTTTCACTATATGGTTTCAGCATCGGATGTGTGGTTTTATACACTGGTCAGGGGAAGTTTCACTCTAGTACAACAAAAACGTTGGAATATGTTGTACATCAAGCAAATACTACTGTTGAGAAGCTTAGGAGTGTTTCAGAATCTCTTGATGTTGCTAGGAAAATTGGAGTGGATCGAATTTCTCTACCTTCCAATGTCCAAACTGACATTGACCAGATCCAAAATAAGATTAACTCTTCTGTTAGTACCCTTGGTGATCGAACAGCTGATAATTCAAGAGACATACAAGATCTCCTGAACTCTGTGTAAGTCTTAAGGCTTTCATTTGCTTTAGTGATATTAATATTTACATTGTAATTATAAAGAGGATATATTGATGCTCCCGCAGGAGACTGGCTCTTATCATAATTGCTGCTGTTATGCTTCTCTTGATTTTACTTGGATTTGGTAAGCTCCATATTCCCACACCCGGATAACCAAAATTATTTGTTTATCTTAACTTTAAGAAAGTCTTTAGTGGTATTTATTTACTCACTGTGATTTTTTGCTTACAGTATTCTCAATATTCGGCATGCAGTTTCTTGTTTACATGTGAGTGAGACAAATGATATTTGAATTAACCTTTTTTTTTTTTTTTTCCTAGCTCTTTGTGGTTCATTCTATATATGCAATCACGTCTCAAGGAATGCTTTTATTCTAAATTGTTGCAGCTTGGTGACCATTGGGTGGATTTTTGTTGCTGGAACATTTATTTTGTGTGGCATATTTCTTCTCCTCCATAAGTAAGTTCCACTGCTGTATTACCTTCACGTATGTTGTTTACTTTGCTTTTGAAGTGCTACTGAATGCTTTTTATTTTTGGGTCATGGCTACTGTATGCTAATGATTAGAATTTGTACTTGTTGATCTTAAGGCATACACGGACTACTCGTAAATTAAGTTTTGCATATTATGGAGAAATTCAGCTGATCCTATGCATAAACATAATAATCTTCTAAAGGTCATTGGAGGCAACTATGATCTTTCCGAGAGAGAGAGAGAGAGAGTTGGGACCAACTCTTTGTGACTTTTATTCTAAGTGAGTATTCAATAATGGTGCCATCCTTGTCAGCATATACTGAACTCTCATCATCTAAAATTTGTACTCCATTCCACATTCTCTGTTAGTGCCCTCTATTTTTACATCAGGTGCTATGTCTTACTTATGTAATGTAGACTCTTACATATAAATTGATTTCCTTTCTTGTGCAAATGTTTCTCTGAGGGCAATATTGTAAATGACTTTTTAAAGGGTACCAAAAAAGTGCTTGACGTACCCCAAATAGTAGCGCATCACGAAAGGCACCATTAGAAGTTATTTGGTTTTTTTGAAATATAGTCTCCTGGAATTCCTGCATAGTTCTTTTTGGCTGATATTTTAAACAACTACATTTTGCTCGTATTTATCTGAGTGAACAAGTCATCTTCAGTTACTAAAAAAAGAAACAGATACCATCTAACTCTCTAGTGAAAAGTTTTGATGGGGTTGATCAGGTTGTCCCAGAGTTTATAGATAACTATTCTCAACTCCATTCCGTTTTCATGTGAAATGCATCGTTTGGAAATATCTGGTAACCGTTGACCACCAGTCTTTCTCGACATCGCTTCTAAATGCGTTGTCTTTACTTCTTTTATTCTTTTCTTGTTAGTCCTCTAAATCTAATTTATGATATTTAATTGTTTCTCTTATAATCTAATTGTTCTTTCTTTGACCTAATAGTGTCACTGCAGACACTTGTGTTGCAATGGATGAGTGGGTCCAAAAACCAACTGCTCATTCAGCTTTAGATGATATTCTGCCTTGTGTGGACAATGCCACTGCTCAGGAGACCTTGTTGCGAAGCAAGGAAGTCACTTCTCAAGTTGTTAACCTAATTAACCAGGTCATCACCAATGTCTCCAACATTAATTTTTCTCCAAACTTTGCACCTTTGTACTACAATCAGTCTGGTCCGTTGCTGCCTTTACTGTGCGACCCATTTAACCCTGACTTGACGGATCGACCTTGTACGGCTGGTGAAGTGGACTTGAGCAATGCAACACAGGTATCAAATAAGCCTCACATCCTTGATAAAAGAAAATAATAATAATAGCATGAAAATGTTATGCAGTGAACGTGACATACCGAACACACTAATGAACTTGAGTCAGGAGTTATACGTGGCATTCATAAGGATTAGTTATCATGTGTGTGTGCACGCGCACATAATATGGTTTGACTTGAAAGTTTCTGCTCTCAATATGATGTTTAACCAAAGTAGGAACTGTCTAAAACAAGTCCAAAATTTGGGAGTTTTTCTATGGTTGCTAATTGTAGAAAGCTGAAGTACTCTTGTTTCGTATTGTGCAGGTATGGAAGAACTATGTTTGTGAGGTTTCAGCTAATGGGATTTGCACCACAACAGGCCGGCTGACACCCTCAATCTACGACCAGATGGCTGTTGGTGTAAATGTGAGCTATACATTGTATCACTACGGTCCATTCCTGGTTGATCTACAAGACTGCACTTTTGTGCGACAAACTTTCGGTGACATTACTAGAGATCATTGTCCTGGTCTCCGGCGGTACAGTGAATGGATCTATGTTGGGTTGGTGATGGTTTCTGTTGCGGTTATGCTCTCACTAGTTTTCTGGGTAATATATGGAAGAGAGCGACGACACAGGGTTTATACCAAAACTCACATGGCCAGATCTGCGCCAGGCTACGAAGAGGGCAAGGGTACTTAGACAAACCCTAATCGACTTCATTTTCATACTCATATGGGACTGTTTGTTTACATCCAACTTGGTTTTCAGATTATGTATCTAATGAAAATGGTAGTTTGTAGAACTTCTGTGACCAACTCACATGTTATTCTTATGGGAACTCAATGAAATTTCACTTATTTGGAGAAAAGGTACAAGACCACCATGGTCATTCGACTACATCGGAGGTAAAATTCGAGTCCTACGTTCAGCCCCTAATTCAACATTCAACCTTAATTACTCAACCTAACTTTTTATTTAAAAATAAAAATTCAACATTCAACCTTAATTATTCAACCTAACTTTTTATTTAAAAATAAAAATAAAGATAAATCGATAAAATCTTTACTTTTTACTAGGGCTGCAACTTTGGAGGTACAATTCGAATCCAATCCGACATATAGATTGTTTAATCTTAACCTGACCTTCAACCTTAATTTTTCAATCTGAACTCAACACATCGTTCTATTTTTAAATTTAGATATGGAACTTGGACTAATATTTTGGATTAAAAAGTGATGTGGAGTTAATTTACAAATTCTTAAAAAATTAATTCTTAAAAATGTTTACATACAATAAATTAATATTTAAACAAATAAATTTGAAAAGAAAAAACAGGTGCTTATAATTTGAACATTATATAATTGGGTAATTTACACAAACCTCCCCTATGGTTTGCCATAATTACAAGGACTTCCCCTCCTGTTTCGAAAATTACGCGGACCTCCCCTAACAATGAAAATAATCTACACGGACATCCCTTCTGTTAGAGTTAACGGCAGTCAACGACGGAAAATGATGACGTCATCTACTATTTTTACTAAAATCTCTAAAATACCCTTGTCTATATAATTTCATATTATATATTTAAAAGATATATATATATATATATATATATATATATATATATATAACAATATATATCTCTCCTCACTTCTCTCTCTAAATTATTCAACGGGCGACCAGAGAAAGCTTCCAGCCATGAGTTCCGATGAAGGCAGTGATCAGATTCAAATGAATAAGAAAACTTGAAATTAGGGTTCAACCCATAAAGAATTTGTATGCCCTTTATATCAACATAGAGATTTGTGCTCTTGTGCTGTTCTCTCTCTCTCTCTCTCTCTCTCTCTCTCTCCCTCTTTATATATACATAATACTATGTATATATTCATTATCATGGATGAGGAAACTAAATTATCCAAATTTGCCGTATTGTAATTGCAGATCTTTCGAGTTAAATCTCAACAGATCAAATTCTGCGAATCCATGGTAGTCTTGTTATGCAGATTTTATTTCCCTGTACATAATCCAATTGATATATATATATATATCTAAAGAATATGTAATCCTTTTATCACTACTTGAATTCTTCTTTGGCTGTTTTTTTGAATCACAATTTTATTAGTATATCATATCAGCAATTGGTTGACTCTCAGATTTGGTTTAGAAAGGAAGAATTATAATTTTGGAAGAAAAAAAGATTAATTACCAAAATCAATGGCGTAGAATAATCTGGGTTATGCCTATATTCGTTGCTCCTCCATCGTTGCTGTAAGTGCAAATTAACAATCCCACCATTATTATGAGAACTTTAATCTATCCTATGAAAGATCTTATTTTTGTGTAGGAGAGATTGGATCTTTTATGAAAGATCTTATTATTTTTTTTTTTATTGACGACACCCAATAAAAAAGAAAAAGAAAAAAACTCCAATCAATATATCTTATATATATGTTTTTGATAGGAAAAAGTGAGATGGTTGTTGTGCTAGCGGTGGAAGGTGGCGGCGGAAGTGCAAGGTGATGGGACTACGTTGAGAGAGAGAGAGAGGGGTTGTGGTGGTGGCGTGTGGATTGAGGTAGTGGTGGTAGAAGAAGTCGTCGGTGGTGGGAGGAGGTGGCGATGGAAGAAGTTGCCGGCAGAGGGAGAATATGGCAGTAGAAGAAGTTGCTGGCGGTGAGGGAAGGTTGCGGTGGTGAGAGGAGGAGGGAGATATACGTTGGTAATATAACCACGTGGATTTCTCCGCGTCTACTAGCTTCCGGTACTAGGAGTGCAGTTATGATGTCATGTTTACTCAATAATTTATGGGTAGTTTAGTAATTTCAGATGCCAAGGAGAGGGTATTTCAGTAATTTTGACAAGTTCGTTAGTGTATTTAACGGTCCATCACACATAAGGGAGGTCCGTGTAGATTATTTTCATTCTTAGGGGAGGTCCGCGTAATTTCCGAAACAGGAGAGGAGGTCCTTGTAATTATGACAAACCATATGGTAGGTTTATATAAATTACCTCTTTATCCTTTGCAATAGAAATACAATATAGAAGTGCTCAACCTCTAGTCCCACATCGGTTACGTGAGAAAAGTGGGGAAAGAGTGGTTGGCTATAAGAATAGTGGGCATGTTAATGATTTTAATGTCCCTTTTTTGGTCTCTTGTTGAGCCTTGTATGAGAGGGAATGGAGAGGGAGTTCAAGAGTTTGGAAAGAAAGATGATTTCATTGAAAATTTCGGTTTCGATCACTCCTCTCTCCTTTCATAACTAGTGTTTAAATTTGATCTATACCACACAATATTAAGTGGTTTTTGGATCCAGATATTATTGGGCCACGAGGCTTTGATGTATGATAGACAATGACACCGAATGGAATTGGTAATATAAATTTTAATTTTTCAACATTTTTTATTACATGTTATTTCATTTGTTATATTTAATTTTTTAAAATTATTTTAATAAACGGATCTTTCATTATTTTACTTTCTATTACAACTAGTTTCTCTCGTTTAAAAAATACTCTTTATATCTTTAAGTGTCCAAACTCATTCTCTAATTTTCTCGCCAATGGTTTATTATGACACTTATATTTTATAGTAAATTATCCATTTTTTTTTTCCTTTTTAAATGCAACTATTTGATTCTCTTCCATTCTGGACTCCCACATTATTCAACTTAAATATGACTCGCCAAAAATCAACATCATGTTTCTTTGAAAATCAATTAGAGCATCTCCAATGCTAAATGCCATTTCAGGCTGTCAAATTTATATTTTGAGAGGAATTGCAGTATCAAAATACTATATTTTAACAATTTTGCTCCAATGGTGCATTTGATACAAAATGCTATATTTTAGCAATTCTCACCCTCTATTGAACCAAATCCAACCCACTTCTAGCTTTCCAACCTACTTTAACTCTGATCATTGATTTCGAAATTACCTTCCCATCTTAACCATTCACTGCATTATGTCCTACATAATAATTTTAGGGCAAATCATTTCAGCCTCCCCAATCGCCTCCATCTTTGTTCTCGGTCTTGACTCTGAACTTGCCCTCTTTCTCTGCAACTGCAAACTACAAAATCTACAAGAATCAGAAGTTCAAAACCCATATATTTCAGTTTATCTATCTGTCAAATTAGGGTAAGTGTTGTTTGCTTCCCTACTCCACCCATTCCTATGGTTTTCGGTGTTCTCTAACTTTTCTTATTCAGCTTCATCATCTCTTTTACACACACTCAAACACACACACGTATATGTATGTATATATTGTTTATATTTCAGTATATCTATCTGTCTGCAAGAATCAAAAGTTCAAAACCTATTACCTATATCAAAACCTATATCGGCATATCATTTCAGAGTTCGCTGTTCGCAAGCTTCAGCCGCTGGCTCTCAACTTTCAAGTTTGCCCTCCTCTCTCTCTCTGCAACTGCTAACTCTCAAGCCGGATCTGTAAATGCCAACTTCGACCATGGAGAAATTGGAATCATTGAATTGAGAGAAAGAGATTGAAGTCAGATTTTGTATTGAGAGTTAGATATACAAACATACATATATATATATAGAGAGAGAGAGAGATTGAAGTCAGATTTTGACACAACCGGAAGAGGGGACAGGAAATGCACAGAGATAAAGCCGTTCCAAACGACATCGTACAGAGAGAGAGAAGGCATGCCAAAAACATCGGCAACTCCTATATTTGAGAAAAAAATTGGCATTCTCAAAATTTGAGAGCCCAAATGAAAGCCTATTGGAGAGCCCACTTTTTACACCTCTCTCAAATTTTGAGTTTAGCTGCCCAAATAAAAGTGCATTGGAGATGCTCGTAGACAAGACATCTTCTGCCAAATGACTCAGTTGATTCATTTGCAGTCTTACATGAGTTGAATCCAGACTAACCCATCTTGTTGAACCAAACAACCAGGTTTGCTGATACTTAAAACCTATTTAATCCGTCTAAATTAAATGATTCATATAGCTCGATTATTAATTAAAGTATAACATGCAAATATAATGAAAATTTGAGGTAATGGATGATTAAATTCATGAAAATGAGAATAATTGAGACAATATTATTACGAAAGAAAGACTAAATATAATATCCTTACGGTTCTATTGAAATAATAAAATGTAGTACATTGTAAATAAATAAAAACAAGTTATGGGTTAATTGGGCTGACCTCAATTAAAACAGGTTATTAATCGAGTTGACCTGATACGAAACGATTAATTAAACAAGTCTAAATTAAATAGGTTGAACTCTAAAACACTAACACAAAAAAATTAATTACTCCCTAAATGAGTTGACAAGAATATGATAAAGTAACTCAAATCCGTTAATCTCCCGTGTGAAATTTTGTGGTCAAACCCAATGGACTTTGGCTCAAAATTTCCAACCGTGGGTGTCCATACGTTCATGCAGATTTTACTTGGGCTCATATGACCATGGCCCAACCCGGTAGGTCCATACAATCCAGCTTCTCTCTTCAGTATACTATAAGTACATATATATATATATATATATGTACACACACATCCAGTCCTACCTTGGATTCTAGGGTTCGGTGACTCTGAATTCTAGGGTTTAGTTTTCATTTCGAACGCGGTGATGATGGACAACGACAATGGCGAGACTGAGCAACAGGCGACGAGGACGAAGCACAAGGGAAAGCATGACAAGCCAAAGCCGTGGGACGATGACCCCAACATCGACCACTGGAAGATCGACAAGTTCGACCCTTCATGGAACGACGGAGGCATGCTCGAAGTCAGCTCCTTCTCTACTCTGTTCCCCCAATACAGAGGTATCAAAACCCTAATTCAATCGCCTTTGTATGATAGTTTAATACTATTACAAGCAATTATTATGTAGGAATTGTTATTTCATATGAACAATACTGAATTACGACCATCCAAATTCAGTTTTTAGTGTCCTTCGATTGATAATAAGAATTGGAAGTGTTTTCAAGGTGTGATGTTTATATTAGATTTGGAGTGAACATAATTCTGTTATGCTTCTCTTTTGGTTGTACTCTTCTTTCATATTATATGTGGTCTTTTCCATGAAAATACCTTTTTGTGTCAGCCTTGTTTCCGAACTTATATATATAATATATATGTATGTGTGTGTGAAAATTTTGGAGACTATCTAGTACTGTATAAAGCAGGCCTGGTTGGCATTCATAAGGCCTGTGTTTTGACACGTATTTAAGCTTGCTCAAACTGTCTATGTCCCTTGGCAGGAACATAATCGATGTGGTCTCAAATATTGTGTATGTAATACTACTTAAATGGGGAGAAGGGTGATTAGTAAAATTGTGCTTGTTTACACTAGAAGTGATGAGCTAGTTTGCTTTGTCATAGGTTTAACTTAAAGTTTTAAGAATTTACTTGGTGTTTTCTTCGCGCAAACGTCGCAACCAAGACTAGGAGCGTCCACATTCCCCTTTCAGGGTGTCCAAAGATATTGCTCAAGTTAACAGTTGGTGGTTCAATTGCCACTTTTCTTCTTAAAACGCCTTTGGTTGAGCAGTCAATTGATTCCATGACTTTTCTTTTATTTTTCTTTTCCTTTTTCTTTGTGTGTGTGTGTGATTTTATGTTTGTCTTACAGTCAGACATTCAAATAGGTACTAGAAATGCCTTTTGAAACTTCATTGCGCTTTCATATCTTGAGCTTTTGTATTTGTTCTTTGCAGAAAAATACTTGCAAGAAGCTTGGCCTATTGTGAAAAGTGCATTGAAAGAGCATGGAATTTCTTGTGAGCTGAATTTGGTAATTGCTCTTTTTTTTATATATATATACATATATAATTTTATTTTTTTTGAACTCAGACTTTTAGAGTGGAGATTGTAAACATCAATATAGATACGACAATTTCAAAATTTTTAAATTTTTTATTTTTTTTAATATGTGAAATAATCTGATGGATGAAGGACTCCATAAGTTACAAAAATCGCACAAACTCATGCATAGTCATTTTTTGATAGTCTGCAATCATATATAGGTAAAATATCAGATATTCATATTTTTATATCCATATAGACTAGTTTCCTGTACAGACCAATATGTATATATATAGTTCTAAGTTATTAAATTTGTCACCAATATCTCTCTATATATATTGTTATAAGTTATTAGTTTTCTAGCCATTAGCATTTATCACTTGTTTATCCCTTACTCTTTTTCCCATGTAAATTCCGCCTTCTCATTGCCTTGCCATATCTTCATTAATACAACAAGAGCTAGTCAGAACAAAAGATGAGAAGACCTATTATTGGGATCTATTGAGATTGGAAAATTTTATTTGATCAGTTTTTTCTGTTAGTATCTTTGGTGTTCAAAAGATTCAATTTATCCTCTACTATTGGTCAGGTTGAGGGATCCATGACTGTTTCAACAACCAGAAAGACAAGGGATCCGTATGTTATAATGAAAGCTAGGGATCTCATTAAACTTCTGTCGAGAAGTGTCCCTGCACCCCAGGTACAACTCTGATTTCATGTTTTTTTCTTTTGTTTTATTATCTTAGGTGTGTTTTTTGCACATGTAAAATAGTTGCTGGAAGATATTTTTTTTATCCCTTTAAATAGGGTCTAAAGTGAATAAATGATGAAAAAATATATATTATAATGATTGTCATTGGATTTCTGACCATTTTTCTGCATGTTTGAATAATTTAATGGTCACCCGTCAAATATCTGTGCATAATACATATAACTTATGGCTACCTTCATTGTGTTTTAACATTTCTATAATTGGAATGCTATATAAGAATCAAAGTTTTCTTTAATGACAGATTCTTATTCAGGAAGTCCTTTTATCTTTTACCTAAGATATTCTTACTACGTTTGTTGTCTCAGGCAGTCAAGATATTGAATGATGAAATGCAATGTGATATCATCAAGGTTGGCAATTTGGTCCGCAATAAGGTGTGTATTACTTGAATCAATTTAAATGTATTATATTTTTAGTAATATTTGTGAAAAACAGAGAAGAATAGTTAATTTCAAGTTAGTACTAATGAAGTTTGATGGGCAAAAGTAGTTTGTTTGGTTATCTTATTAAAGAGAGAAGAAAGAAAAATGCAAGCAGTTTGTTTATTTGAGTTCTTGTTTAGTATCATTTTGTCTTTTTGCATCATATTCCCTCCCTTAAAAGCTTGGTTTTATGCAAAAGTTTTCAGTTTCACTAGCAAAACAACTGCTTTTCGGCAGGTCCAGAACAACTTGCAGAAATTATATATGCAAAGTTGTCAGAATTTTTTTTTATGGTTATACTTCTAGAGATCCAGGCCGATTGGAACATAATGCATTTCCATCACACTTATTATGAGAAGAATTGGAATGAAGAAAAATGAATGGGAAAAAAGAATGAAATTATGCACATAAAAGATAAAAGGATAAAAGGAACATGGTTGACATTGTTTGATGCTGAAGTAGTACGCATGACTTGAAGTAATAACTAATAAGTGATGATATCTTCAAGATTTTGAATCTTCTTCTCAATTTCTATTGTTGTTTGCAGGAACGTTTTGTCAAACGAAGACAACAACTTGTGGGCGCCAATTCTGCCACTTTGAAGGTGTGTGCTCTTGGATATGATGCTCAACGAATCACTCCCCTCTCCAAAACCCCCAAAAAAGAAAAAAACATAAAGAAAGAAAACAAGATATACTTATGGTTAACAAACATGATGTACTACTACTATATCCCAGTATATCTGATTTGCTTCACTGACAAATAACATTGTATGATGCTCAACAAATCACTTCCCCCTCCAAATCCCAAAAAAAGAAAAACAAAAAAAAATTGTCATGTTGATCGCTATATGTAAATTATTTGTGGGTTGAAACCCTTACATGATATACTATGGTTACTACCCTCTGATTTGTATCACTGACGATCTTATTCCGATGCAGGCACTGGAGATTTTGACCGGTTGCTATATCCTTGTTCAGGTATATTACTGTGATTGTTATTCCCCCCATGTTGAATGATTTAATGAAATTTCAATTTGATATCAATTATGTTTTTGCCAATCAATTTACAATTATGTTCTTTTATAATGTGGATAGTCAAGAAATGAACACATTCTGCTTGTAAATGAGTAGGGAAACACAGTTGCTGCTATGGGTTCGTTCAAAGGTTTAAAACAGGTGAGGAGGATTGTGGAGGACTGCATACTGAATAAAATGCATCCTGTATTCAGCGTCAAGGTGAGTTGGCTGGGTTTCTGTGGTACTTTTCTAATTACTGTTATTATTATTTATTATAAGTTTCAGATCTCTGATGTTTCTTTACCTCCCCCGGGGTAATAGATCCTCTTGCTCAAGAGACAACTTGCCAAAAATCCAGCACTTGCAAACGAGAACTGGGATAGGTTTCTTCCTCAGTTTAAGAAGTATGACATCTACTGCCATATATATATATGTGCAAATATAAGTCATTTTCGATATCTGTTCTGCTCATCTGCTATAGCTTCTAAATATTTTGGTGATGTGACAAATTTTCAGGAAAAATGTCAAGCAAAAGAAAGTTAAGAGTAAAGAGAAGAAACGATATACACCCTTCCCTCCTCCACAGCAACCTAGTAAGGTGAGCTGAATTTTTTTTACAGTTTGGAAGCTATAAACTATTTACTCATCAGGTATTACTCATTTTGGTGTGATTTTCTTATTACTTACCATTTTCCTGAGTGGGCTGAATATTTTGACTCGTCTGAGTTTGTTTGTTAGTTAAGCGTGAAAAATACAACAAATTAATTGCGAGCCTAATGTTTCATTTGTTATGAGTTTGTTAGTTCGAACTCAGAAAGATCTAGCAAATCAGGCAGTTATTGACTTGGTTATATCGACCTATTTGTGAAACTCAAAATTAGACAGGTCATTGTATATTTAACTTTTTGATTAGATTAACTATACTTTAGGATCTGTTGTATAGTTGTATTCGCTCAAGTGATGGTACCACCAATAAAAGGACTCCGGGGATGACACTTGGGCATCTCAATATATTGTTTTGTCTACTCTTGATGTGGAATGACTTGAAAAAATTAATGCCAAGGCACCAGAAGGAAAACCTCTAGTCTGCTAACTGGTTTTCCCTTTCTTTTATTTGACACCCCCCAACCCCCAACATGTGAGGGCCCTTTTTCTTTTGCTGTATTTGCTTTTATGATTTAATTTTGTTTCTTCATGTTCCTTTAACCCTGGTTCTTAGGGTAAAACAATTTTGATGGAAGATTTTCTCTGAGTCTGAGTTGCTATATCTGCTTGAGTTTATTCAATCATAATTTATAATTAAACAAGCATTGTTTTGAAATATCTTCAGATTGACCTAGAACTGGAAAGTGGCGAATACTTCTTAAGTGACAAAAAGAAGCAAGCAAAGAAGTGGCAAGAAAAGCAGCAGAAACAGGCAGAGAAAGCAGCTGAAAACAAAAGAAAGAGGGAAGAAGCATTTGTTCCTCCTAAGGTTTGCTTCCGAGACGCATGCTATGCATTTTGCTTCCATTTTTGTTTATATTTAAATATTCTTATTTTTGTCATTCCGGGAAATTCTCATTCACTTTTGCTTGTCTGTCACAGGAACCTGTAAGCCGGGATTCCGGTGTATCTGACAACGGCAAGAATTACGTAGCTGCCATGGCCACGTCTGTAAAGGTAATTTTGTTTTCCTGAAGATAGCTTTCACCAAGGGAAAAGAGAAAATACTTATATTAAAAGTACTAGAATATATATATATTTTCATCCTAATGTCACTGAAATCTTGAGCATGTTGATGAAACATCCATATATTGGTACTTTGGTGTTGGCAGGAAAAGGCAAAGAAGTTGAGCATACAAAAATCTGGTGAGAATATCGATGCTGAAACATATATTGCCGGTTCTCGAGAATCACCTTCAAAAAAGAAATCCAGGGTTGACGGGCTACTTTAAGTGACATGGCATGAGAAAGTAGGGTTTCAATGTTATTTTCTTAGTAGGCTAATAGGATCTTTCTAAAGTTGATCCGCTTTTATTTTTTATTTTTGAATACTTTTAACTTACAGATGGAGTAATTAGAATTTTTGTTGTGTGCAACTCTTGGCAATTAATTCTAGCACTTGAAAAGATAAAAAGAATGCATTTGCTTCATTCATTTGTTCTTGGTCATGCATTTATTTATTTTCCTTTATAAATAAATAAGGTGGCCGGAAAGCTTGGAACGTTCACATGTAAATTTTTATAAAAGTCCACATTTATCAAGAACATGTTGAATGGAGGAGGCTAATGAACTGTGCCAGTTGGACAAACCTTTGTAATTATAAGGTTTTACAATTTTTTTTTTTTTTTTTGTTTATTCATTTCCTCTCACTGCTCATTAGGTTTTACAAACTATTCCCAAAATAAAAAAAAATTTCGCATCAATCAAGCATTTGGTAATGGTAGTTTATGATTTTGCAAAAAGAACAGATTAAGTGTCATTGCATGTGCAAGTGACAAAAATGATTATCTTATTCCTTGTTTGCCCTTCCGAAGGTTTTCAGTTTCTCTCCGAGGGCACTTGGATTTTGAACTCAAGCCTAGTGAATCTAGTGAACCAAATCCTAGATTCAGGAGAATATAGATAACCAAAGTAAGAACTATGTAAAGACATAACATCCACTTTTCAAGAAAAAAGGTAACTGTAAAATATTACGAAATTTCGGTATTGTAAGTTTCAAGTTCTTACATAACATCCACTTCCCAGGAAAAAAGTAATTTGTAAAAGATTGCCTCATATTATTAAATTCAAATGGTGAAAATTTCTAACAAAGTACATTATTCTAAGTTTCAACAAAACTGTATTCAGTAAATGAAGGCTGAACTATTGAGCAAATTAACTCACCAAAATACTTGGCGACCTGAGTCTCGTTAAGAATCTCATCCATCTATTTCTTTCAACTGACATTGTGGAATGAGTCGATGATGGCATCCGCGAGATATTCACATTTGGCTGCAGATAATCCTGCCAACGATATTCTTCCATCCTTGGTCATGTACACGTGCCACTTATTTGTCATATTGTCGCTCTAATGGAGGAACACGGGAGAAAAAGTATTAGGATGTTGAACTCTATAAAACTGCACTTCGTACTGTTGCAATGCAATGATTTAACATGTTCTGCCACCAAATTATAGTTCTTATTTCGAGATAGCAACTAATTTTAGATTGTATGTACAGACCAAGTTATGATTTCGGTATGCAGAAATTTTTTGGTCAGAGTTCAGGAGAATTTTGTGAAAAAATGGGGGAGCTAGCTGTAAAAACAAACATAAGCAGAAGTCTGAAGAGAAATTGGGAAAACAAAAACAAAAAAATCCAAAAATGAATCTAGCAAAGGGAAATTAATTAAGCGGTAGCATTTCATACAATAAACAAATAAATGCGTTCTTATTCTCAATGTATTCACCATGTAAAAGATATCTGAGACAATTTTGTTGGGCATTATGTATCAAATTCCTGATTCTATATTTCTATTCTAGAGATGTATTTTGTTTCGTAAAAATTTTGACGGAAATTCTTAAGCTCTAATAAATTGTAATCTTGTTTTACAAGGACTTGGGGTTAAGACTCCATAAATAGATACCTACACTATGGGTTGAAACTAGTGAGAGTGAGATATGTAGTCCTGTGAGAGTTGAATCTGTGAGGACTTCCTGGCTTCACCTCACTAACACCAATGACGTGCAAGAAAGCATGGTGGTGCTTTAGTGAATCATGTATGAGTACACTGAGAACAGCATTCTCTACCATAGTTATTTTCTACGGGATTTGTAATGAAATTGTCAATTTCCATCCTTGGATGTCCATGGGTTTGCAGAATTATATTTGTTTAATGTTCTATTATTTGTGATTGGATCTCTAGCTTGTATTTTTGTTTAATGTTCTATTATTTGTGATTGGATCTCTATACCTAGATTATGCATTGAGACTTATGAACTCAAGAGACATGTGAATGAGTTGCCTCTGTGATGACTCCCTGGTTTCATCTCACACACCCTGCAGAGATGTGGACATGGTAGAGTTGGAAAAACACCAACAGCAAGCAGGGAAAAATGATGCTTGAGTGGCTCGTGGATGGGTACACCGAGAAGGGCTTATGGAATACGCTACGAGATGGGTACTGGGGTGCTGGATAATCTCTACTCAGTCTTTTTTTACGAGATTTATAGTACACTCTCTTCTCGTCTACAGATGTAGGCAAAATTATCAAACCACGTTAATTTTTGTGTTTTTGTGTGGTTGCCTATTATTTTTTATCAGATCTCCTTGTAGGAATTCAGTTTTTTTTTTTTCCCTAAAATATTTCTGATTCATTGAAGTACAAAATTCTAAATCAGAGGTAGAGAATACTTGAAAACAAGGAAGACGTAGGATATATTTTAGAACTTCTGAAAATCATGATAATAATAAAAAAAGAGCAAAAGCCTATAGCAAAGGTTACCACTCAAAAGTCATGTTTAAGCATAGTAGTAAAAAGCTGGTGTAAGAAATACAAAAGGTACATTTTTTTTTTTTTGAAGTTCAATAGCATTGACTGTTTAATACAAAAGGTACTTTACCTGAGATTTATTCAGGCCTGTAAAAGAGAACATGCCGATTTGCTTGAGGATAAACGACCAATCCTTCCCACTCTTGTCCTTTGCAGTAAGACAGTCGAATAGTTTCTGTCTCACACTCTTTATCCTTCCAGCCATTAATTCCATCTCATCTTTCCATTCATTGAAGAGAACTGGATTCCCTACAACATTGGCAACAATCTTAGCCCCATGAATGGGAGGATTTGAGTACATTGGTCGAGCAAGCCTTTTCAGTTGGCTCTTTACCCTACAAGTAAGAGAACATGTGAATTAGCAAAAAAGATGTGCTGCTCCTTTAAAATCAACTGAGAAGAAGCTCATACAAGCAGAGGAACAGACGTTGCAGCCAGGTGACAATATTAGAGATTATTCTTTGTTAAATCAGTATGAGGAACTAATAATGGCAAAATACAAGTAGTTCAAATATTCCCATCAACAATTAGCACGTCAAAAGCTTATCAATGTAACCAGATGTTCAAACTTAAGAAGAATTGTTTTGCTTACATCAACTTCAGATGTGGAATGAGAAAATGCATCATTGCTATAATCGTTCTTTATGGGCAATAATTTTATCAATAATGCGACATTTATTTCAAAATAAAGTAGTTAACCAAAATCTAAGACATCTGATAACAAGGATACTGGCAACAAGTGGTAAACCAGCTTGTGTCCAACAGAGACAGGTGATTAACCAAAATGAGACCACAAACGAATAAAATGACATATTATAACATGAAAAAGCTATGGCGCTGTTTCCTATATGGAACAATATTACTAAAATCAGAAGGATCACTTTCTTTGATTGTCTCCATCGGAATGACCAAAACATTACCATTTTCTGGTGAACCAACGCGAGTTATAGATGGAAAACTGAAATCATACATTCCACGCAAACAAAATTGTTTTTATCTGAACATAACAAGAAATAGTCAAAACAATACCAAAATATTCAAATTTTGTACAGTCACAAAAGCAAAGTATCCATTCTTTACAAAAATAGTTTTTTGTTTTTTTTTTTTTTTTTTTGGGGGGGGGGGGGGTGTTTATTGTAAGTTGTAGCACTTCATAGCCACTTGTAAATTATTTTACTTAGGGCGTTACCTGTAACTTGCTTCAAAATGTATACTTGGCGTACATTATATAGATCATTAATATCATAGCGTTATAGCATGCTGTAGAATATAGGTAAAGTGCTAATCAGATGACAATTGAAAAATACTTGGTTTCTGTACCTTGTTGCCGCATCAGCTGAAGAGCAGAGTACATTCATTGCTCCAATCCTTTCTGCATAAAGACCCAGATTTTTACTGTATGACTGTGCAACCAAAAGCTCCATACCACGTGCAGCAAACAACCTCACAGATGATGCATCTGCATCAAGGCTTCCACTTGCAAATCCCTATAGTGTGATTCCGGGTTTAGGTACAAATTTATTCCAGACATTATATTTCAACAGAATTTTTAACATTATGCTACAATTTTAACATTGACATTGAATATGTATGTATGTATGTATATATATATACATATATATGAAAATCAATCAAGTAAATGTAATCCAAATATAAAAATAAACTGTGTTTCATTTTAAAGGACTAAAATCAATGCAGGAACAGAAATTTAAAAGCTTTATATCAAGCAAAAAGGGTTGCATTAAAGGATGCTGCATTACCTGGTATGCAACGTCGAAAAATGGAATGTGGTTCTTCTCTAGAATGACATCAGCAATCTTTTCCCATTGTTCTGGAGTTGGATCAATGCCAGTTGGATTGTGAGCACAGCCATGAAGCAAGACAAAAGATCCTTCAGGGGCTGCCTGGAAACAAAAATATTCAATCATTCAAGGGTGAAGTTTATTGGCTAGATAAACAGGCAAATAAAAAAAAAAAAAAAAATTTGATGAGAGTTTTTATCAAACACTTCAATACGTGAGGAACTTATAGAGTTTATATTTTAGAAGCATGAATAATATTAAGAAACGAAGAAAGCTTCTCTCTCTCTATCTTTCCCCCTTTTCTTCAAACAAACTGCAGAAACGAAGAAAGATGCTAATTCATTAATTGAAAACATAGTGAGAAGTAATAAAAAATGTAGAAGTAATAAGAGGGACGAAAGCAATATTAACAGAACCAAAAAGGTGAAACAAATCATAAATTGATATTAATAAAACATCAACAAGATAGAAATATTGAAGACTTTAAGGGGCTTCCTCTCTCACTTAAAAGTATTTGAAGGTATGTAGTAATTACAGAAATTCATGCAAGAATATTCTTGTGACATGATAAAAACAAATCAATGGCAATATTCACGATTAAAATGCCGGTTGAAAGAAAAAAAATGTAATGTCCACATTACCTTTATGTCTGATATCATCCCATCAAAATCCAAACCAACTGTCTTTGGATCATAGTAGCGGTATTCAGACCAAGGAACTCCAGCATCATTGAAAATATTTTTGTGGTTACCTGCAAAGTTTATTTTTAATTTTATTTTATTATCAGTCCGCTTTAGACAAATCTTTCAAATAAGTTCAAGTGTGTGACAACACTCACCCCAAGTAGGAGATGATATCAGAACTTTTGCCCCAGGAAAATACCGTTCTATAAGTGCAGCAGCAAGTCGAAGAGAACCAGTTCCTGAAAGACCTTGAACAGTGGCAACCTGAAGAAATGAAAAAAAAAAGAAAAAAGAAAAAAGAAAAAGAAAAGATTATAAGTTGGATACCATAAGTCCTTAGGCTGGATCACAGAAAAAACAGACGATCTTCTTTTTTATAAAATGCATAAATCGTAAATTTCACATACCCTTTGTTGTTGAAGTACAGGGTTGTCTGCTCCAAATAATAACTCTGCAGTCGCTTTGTTGAATGCAGCCAGACCTTCAATTGGAAGATACTGCAGATTGTAATTTTAAAAAGTTGGTAAGAAATCTAAAAGAAAACAAAAAGTCCAGGGTCGTCAACTTATTTATACGATTTCTAAGAGATACCTCTTTGTTTTCGCCCCTCTCTAGCATAAGATTCTCTGCCTACAAGATGAAAATTTCATATGAGAATTAGTAACTTCTTTGGTTGTCAAAAGATCATTCTGTCTACTAGTAAGAAGTAAAACTAAAAGATCCACCTTTACAGTTCTAATTCACATAAAGAATACATTTAGAAGGTACGATAACCATCACAAATTGATTATCAACTGATTGAGGGGGAAAAAACTGACCTTCTTAACAACATTAAGAACATAAGGTTGAAGTTCTTCTGTTCGGTAGGCCCCGACTCCAAGGTTGAGCTTCATCTCATGTGTGTCTGCTTTAAATGCTTCAGAGACTCCCAGAATGGGATCAGGAGGAGCCATTGTTATACCCTCAAAACGAGAAACATTAACAGCAACAGCCATATTTATCCTACCATGTGACTGCAGAATAGAATAGCTAAATTCAGGTTTGATATACATGAGAATTAAACCATACCAACCCAAGATGGTTAGGTTTGATTGTATCTTAGGCTAGAAACCCAACTTGAGTCTTCATATGAACTAAGAAGCAATTGCAATTGGCAATGTTAGAAGAAATTAATGGGAAAACCTTTAAGATAAAACAGACATTCTAGGCCCATATGGGTTCAATTTAGTAAGTTAGAATTGCTACGGTGCAACCAGAGAGAACCTTGTGGAAGTGTACAATTGGAACTTGAAAGCTTCTCTCAGCAACAAGTAATAAGTTTTGCACTTAGTGTTGAAATGAAATATAATTTCACCACAAATAATAAGTTTTGGACTTTTAATGTGGTCAGCAGTCACTGCACGAGTTTCTTATTTGGCAAATTTCCTACTGGTTTCTACATTATTCATATTTGAAGGTAGTTAGGTTAGAGTGGATGGAAAAATAGGATTCACGTGGCCGACTGCAAGTAATTGGAAAAAGACTGTTGAGTTGTGTATTTGAAGATTATTAGGGGTCATGAATTATGTCAGATGTATGTGCACTTTGATTATTGAATGATAACCCTGTGGATTGTGCATTATCAATTTATCATTAAATGTTTTATTTGAATAGTTATATTTTTGTTTGAGATCGGGCATAAGTGAGGAGTGGAGTGGCAGCATTAATGACGAACCAGGAAACTAAGAAAGTAAATCTGAATATATGAAAAACTTTTAAGGTCAAAAATGAGATTTGATGAACTACCATGATGAACTTATAGTAACTTAATATTAGGTTTTTATAAAATGTGTTCGACCAAATAATTTCCTGAATGATCAAGGAAACGAGAAAGAAAAAAATAACAGTCAGCAGGCCAGATTCCATGAACATGACCGGCCACCCATTTTTGAAACACCCTCCAATGGACAAGCAATGTCAAATGTCTGCTTTTGCTCCTAATAACCCAGTGCCATAGGCCTATACACCTAAAGAAGAAAAGAAGCCATCTATTGATAACCAAACAATTAACCAAAATTTTGCAGAATCTAGGAAAATAACAGTCTTAGTGGTAGAACAATCCACTTGTTGACCAAGTGCTATTACACAAAATTCAAAAGGACATTTGGTAGGTTCAATAGTAAAAAATAAATTGAGCTAACAAGCATGAGGACGTGGGTTAGACTAGAGCAGCCACTTTGCGCAAATAATGCCACAGGTTAGGTCTTTCTCTAGACCTCCCTGGACCCCCCTACCAGAACCCACGAAGGAGGGACCAAAATGGCCTTTTATTAGACCAACTTTGTGCATAATATGAGTATATGAGTAGAAAGTAAAACTAAATGGTGAAAGAGAATTATAAATTTGGTGAATGGTGAACCACAGATGCAGATGATAATAGTCAAGAAAACTAGAGAACACTCAAAAAAATATGTATAACAAAGCAAATTAAGTGACCATGGAAGGAAAAAATTAGATTCAACCCATAGTCATTAAATAAACATAATTTGAGTTGGAGTGCAATAACTCTTGTATTGACTACAACAACATAAAACAATTTAGCAAGCTTGAATTGGCATAACCACTGAAAAAAGAGTTCAAACAATGTAATTAAAGTTAGAAGTTTATAAATCTACACAAACGTAGCCAGAGATAACCCATGATAGTTACCTTCTTCTTCATAAAGGGATTTCTTTTGTCCTTCCCCAAAAGAGTAACATGATCAGAGCTGCCAAGCTTCAATTTTGTCTGTTCAAGTACAGTTAAGTATTATGATTTAAATTACACCATAATTTTCTATTTACTATTGGAGGAAAGAAAAGAAATCAACACTTTGAATACTATATTACAATATTTGTACTGAAGAAGACAAAAAAACCTCCACAAAACTGAAGCTAATACAACTATATACTATACAGATTGGTATTGGATTAGCTTCAATTCAGTTAATGCATTGATTGTTCTGTAAACTAAAGCAAGATAATAGGCCAAATCAACGCTTTGTTTTCTTTTCCTCGGTTTTCACAGCAGCCAAACACAGGAAAATAAATTTAAAATATATACATTAGAAATGGAGATATTTTGAAATGATGAGAAGTTGAATCAAGAATTTGATCCTTTTGATTAAACTAAAGAATGAAAAAAAGCATAAATGTAACAACTTGTTTTTAATTCCCTCGTTTTCTCAGCATCCAAACAGATGAAAAATGAAATCAAAAACAAAAAAATTAAAATGATATAAAGTTCGAAGATACCTTGCAATTATCTGGCAACGATAACGAAGCTGAAGGAGAGGCGAGAGAGAGCATCGTCGAAGCCATCTGAATTAGACAGAGATCAAAATGATAAGATCGATTCAAAATGTGAGTGAGCGAGTGAAATTGAAAGATGAAGAAACAATTAACTTGATCTGAACTTGAAATTGAAAAACAATAATTAATATCAAATTACATAAATGAACATATATATATATATATATATATATATCAGAGACTGAATCAGAGGTGTATAGAGAGATAAAGTAGTACCTCTTTGTAGCCTTCAGTATGGGCAGCGAGGAGAGAGAGTGTGGAAAAATCGAAGAGGGAAAGCAGAAGTGGGCGAGAAAATCATTAAAGCACCTGACTTTATATACTTGTTCTTTAGTCCACTTTGGGCATATGTAACATGATTGATCCGGCTTTGTTGGTTCGGATCTTTGTTGGGTATTATTTTTACCGGGTCCGTTTAGGGTGTTCATTTACTATTCGATTTAAATAATGTGTACTATTTAAATTAATTTTTTCAATTTTTTTAGTTCATTAGTTTAATGACGATTAATTGGTAGGGGTTAAATCGATTCACGTATTTAAATTTAGAAAAATCTAATTTAGTCTTATCTAATTCATTACTTATAATATATATGGAGTATACATATATCTCTTTTTAACCTTATAAATAGTTACATGGGTCTTACCATCTTCTTGAATTTTAATTAATCTCTGAAGACTATTGAAACTACTCCTTGAAAGATTGACAATGATAAATACTTAATCATTTAGTTTAATGTATTATTTAATCTCAATATCAAATTGGGCTGAAAAAAAAAACACTACATTGAAATTTGTCAAATTAATTTGATCCAATATGATATTTTAAGGATCTGATCAAATTGATTTAAGGCTCCTATTGAATTGAATTAGTTTCAAATTTTATATATTCGTTGTCATTGGATTAGTTTTTATTTTCCATTTAATCCGAATCAATCTGATCCGTTGATCCATATTTTTGATGGTTTATCTATATTTTGACCCGTTTTTTGAAATGGGCTAACCCGTTTGAAAAAAATTATTTATATGTGTTTTTGATCTAATTGACCTTTAGGTTGAGCAGGTTCGTAAACTGTGGGGTCTGTGAGTTTGTTAGTTGTGTGTCCTCCTTACTTTAAGAATAAAAATTGCATTTTTTTAGTATTAGAAATTGTGTAGAGATATACTACGTATTGTATTATTGTTATGTTTTTAGTTATGTTTTTATTTCATAAAAAATGTGTGGGATTAATGAAATATGATATTTAGATTTAAAAAATAAAAAATAAAAAATAAAAAATTTTATTATTTCATGCGAGTGTGTTAACATCATCATGTTATTTTCGTACGCTATATCATGAGACTTAATATTTTGATAGTAAAAAGTCGGATCATAAATAGAAATCTTTTTATTCCAGCCTGACTAGGGAATTGGGAAGAATAGAACTTAACAAATTTACGCTATGCATTTATCACTGCAACAAATAATGAGTCCTGGTTGTAAAATTATATATATATATAAAGTAGGTTTTACTGTTATAAAAGATAAGAATAGCATTCGTGTAATATCACAATTTTTGCTCCAATTATATCCTTATATTAGTTCATAAGTTCATTGCTTATGACTAATGAGATACCTCACTCCAAAAATCTCAAAAAAAATTCAAAACATGAAATAAAAATTTGTAGTGATTTAGAAAAGATTGATTATGGATTAATTTTTGTTTCTTATGTATGTTTAGAGTTAAAAATAAATAATAAAATACAAATATTTATAATTTTAATAAATTGTGAATTAAAAAAAAAAAAAAAAAACACATAACACTAGTTTCTGATCTTAAAGTTCTAGTCATCCCACACCATTCATTCCACACTAATAATGTATTAAAATAAAATTTGTATTGAAGATTCAGTAATAATAAACACCTAAATATTTTCCAAGGACAAGAATCGCATATGAATATGAGGTGATCTTCAACCTCACCGGTCAACCCTGCCGAGTTTGAGTTAGGTCACCATAGACAGAATGTTTTTCTCAGGTTCTCATTTGACCACAAAATGTGCTGAGAAGCAATAATCACATTACGTCAATATCATGGGTTGGTATTACAATCATCCATTGTAAAGAAGATGATAAGAGCAAAAAAAACCAGTAATTCCAACCTCAACCTCAGACAACACCTCAAAATTGCAACCTAAATATTGCACACGAGCATGTGTTGACAAGGACAATATAGCACTCTGGTTTATACAATCTCAAATGAGAGAGATTACATATGTGAGTGAAAACACTTGAAACATACCCTAATCTTAAAATCCTAATTCAAGTCCTTCGTATCAAATCCTAGTTGAGCAGTTATCAGGAGAAAAGAAACAAAGGCCATCAAGACAGGAATTGAGATATTAAAATGACCTGCAGAGTTGGAAGTCACGCCATTTACAAAACAATTTCTTTCTCTTGAACCCATCCCACGAGTTTTCATGAAATTTATAAATATAAACCTCAAAACACAATCTTAATTAAACAAAGAAACAGATACATAATTACTCATTAATTAACATAGAAATCAAATTAAACAACTCACACAATCACCCCCAAAACTGGAAAAAAAACTTCCCTACACCTTTAATACTTTGTTATATGTGGCATTAACCAATTCTACGCCACTTATTTGTGCCATCAACCAATTGTTCCATGTCACATAAATAAGCAGTATTCGCAATTAAGTTTTTCCCCCAAAACTGGTATCTACAAAATGCAAACCCCACCAAACTTAAAACATAAACAATATTGCCAAAAAGGGAAAAAGCCAATACGGCTGAGTTTTTTTTTTTTTGTGCTTATTCCGGTTTGTGAAAAAGCCAATAAAGGGAATGAAGGGTAGAAATTTTGCACGTCTTCTAAGGCAAATACAGAAAGTACACCATCAAAATCTCACTCATCACCTACAATGGAATAAAATCACTAATTAATTTTTCTTTTAAGAAAAGATAACAGCAAATTTATTTTTCTTTTTTCAAATAGAAGGGGATATAATTAGGTATCACTTATTGGATACAAGAATACTGAATAAAATGATCCGGAAAGCAATTGAATACCAGTAACTGTTAAAACACCAAAAAAAAAAAAAAAACAAAACAAAACAAAAACCGGTAAGTCAGAATTAGAACCTTATAACATGTTATGAGGAACCCTAAAAATAATAATATGGAAAATATTTTGAACATTCATAGAAGTTCAAAATGTTCAAAACAAAAAGGAAATCATAATGCACTTATGTTTGAGAGAGACCAGAGCACAAACTAGGAAAAGAGCACTAATAACAATGGCCAGGAACGCTTAACGACAGCCAGAAAGGTCTCATAATCAAGAATCTAAGAGGACTGTCATGATTGTCCAATATATCGAACTCACACAACTGAACAAGTACAAAATGTAATCAAAATCAGCAGAGCAGAGACTTTGAAATTAATGATTCCCACGGTTAGAAGTAAGAGGACAAGTAAGAACATCATACTACAAGGGTATGATATAATTGTGTTCACAAAATAAGAATAATGAGGTGGAGATGAATCGCGGTAATATATTTGAGTGATAAAAGAGGACAGTTTACCCTAAAACTAGATATATAAGATCTAAAGCAAACCTTATCACAGTGAAGAAAAACATGACCAACCTAATTACAGAAAAAAGTTATCCTTCCAAATAAAATTAAAAAGCAAAGAAAAATAAAAAGAACAGAGTATATAAGACCAACAAATGAACCATAAAAAGAAATTGAGGCTACAATTTAATTCTATTTGTTTATTCAATCACCATTACACCATATGAATTATGAGAGCCCAGTTCATATAACTACAAAATTAGCCAAATAACGACAGGGGAGTGATGGTGGGCGGTAATCAAAACAATTGAATATAACAAGTCAAGCCTATATTTTTAACACTCTCATTAGAAAACTGAATCAATCGCTCTTTGAAGTATAGAATCTAACCTCTCTCTCAATTCCAAATTATAAACAAAACTTTTATGAAATTACATAAATCTACCCAATACATACAATCAAATCAAGTATGAATCTAACCCATTTCTTAATTCCAATTTATAAATAGTGCGATAAAATAAAAAAAATCCATGAAACAATAAAATCAGAACCATCACTAAATTAAGCCAAACAAAACACAACCCATTTCTCCACATTTGTATGAAAGCTACAGAATAAGATTAAAAACAAATCACCAAAACAAAGGAAATGATTAACCAATCTTCTAAAATTAGTCGAAAATCGAAATGAGCAATAAAGACCAGAGCAAAGACTATGAATAAAAGATAAGATTAAAAAACCATCACCAAAACAAAGAAAATGATTAACCCATCTTCCAAAATTAGACAAAATGAACAATGGGCAATACACACAATGTTCTTACTTTTTTCTCTAATTCCAAATTGTTAGCATCGCTAGTTGATGGAAAAAAAGATGTGTGCATAACAGTGGTAGGAATGACATAGCGACTGAGTGGGTAGACAGTGATGTCATGGTGGTGGTTTGTTGCAATAAGTGAGAGTGATGGTATAATGAGTAGAGAGAGAGAGAGAGAGAGAGAGAGCCTGGAGTAGCTCTCACTGGGGGGAGAGAGGGGGAAGGGGGGGAGCTTCTCACCCGTGAAGGAGATTGCAGCTGGCCGTGAGGAGATCACAGCTAGGGCAAGTCAGTAGAGCTCGTGAGTTTGGGGTTGGGGACAGAGAGAGTGGTGGGCTATAGTGCTACTGTGATTATGTTTGTACATTATTTTTTTCTGCGGTACCCAACTTGCTACAGTGTTCTTGAAAAACACAATGGATGAATACCATTTTGGTGTTTGTAAAATGCAAGCTCCGCTACAGTCAAATTGATCAACAATGTTTAAACAAACTTAAAAACATAAATGATATGACCAAAAGCTACTTTCAGGGAGGTTTGAGTTCATTCAAGTTTGTGAACAGGACCTCAAAAGGGATGAAGTGTCGAAATATTGTATGCATTTGAAGTTAAATACAGAAATATCTGATTAAATCACCATAAAAATCTCAATCATCAATCATTTTTAGTGGAAGAAATTCACTAATTAAGAAAAGAAAAAAGTAAATTCAATTTATTTTTTCAAATTGAGAGGAGATATAATTGGGTATCACATATCATAGAAAAGAATTTGAATAACAGTAACGGTTAAACGAAACAAGAAAACAGCCAGATGGGATTATTAACTCCAACATGTTACAAGAAACTCCAAAAACAATTATATAGAAAATATTATGAACAACATTCATATGAGTTCCTAACATTTAAACCAAAAATGGAAATCATAATGAATTTATGTTTAGAAAGACCAGAGTAAAGATTATGAAGAAACACTAACAACAATGGCCAGGTATACTAAATAGTTCAAAGAGAAGTAAATGTAACCAAGAGTATAAATGACAGCCAGAATGATCTCATAATCAAGAATCTAAGATGATTGTCATGATCGGATAAGTAAAAGTGTATAGTACAGCAAACACAAATCTGAACAAGTGAAGTGCAAAATGTAATAAAAAACAGCAGAGCTATTGAAATTAATGATTGCCACGATTAGATTTAAGAAGACAAATAAAAACATCATACTATAAGGGCATGCTAGAAGAATTGAATCGTGGCAGTATACGAGTGATAAAAGAGGACAGCCTACCCTAAAACTAATTATATACGATCTAAAGGAACCCTCATCACATTGTGAAGAAGACAAACATCACCAACTTAATTATAGATAGAGAAACCCATCATTCCAAAATAAATTGAAAATCTAAGAAAAATAAAAAGAAGGGGCCATCAAAAGAACCATAAAAGCTTTTCAAAAAAAAAAAACAAAAAACCCATAAAAGAAATTAGGTCTACACTTCAATTCTATTTCTTATTCAATCACCAATACACCTTAAATGACAAAATTAGCCAAATGACTATAGGGAAGGAAGAACATTTTTAGTTTGATACTCAATTTCATAATGGGCAGAGTGATGGTTGGAGGTCATCAAAACAATTGAATATAATGAGAGTCAAGCTTATATTTTTAGCACAACCATCAGAAGAGTGGATCACTCTCACTTTTGAAGTATATGAATCAAAATTCTAACCTATCTCTTAATTCCAAATTATAAACAAAACTTCCAAAAAAAATACATAAATCTAACCCATAAGTACAATCAATTCAAAAATAAATATGAATCTAAAATATCTAATTTATTTCTTATTTCCAAATTATAAATCTAACCAATCAATACAATCAAATAAAAAATCCATCAAACAATAAAATCAGAACCATCACGAAACTAAGACAAACAAAACACAACCCATGTCTCCACATTTTGTATAAAAGCTTTAAAAACAACCATCACCAAAACAAAGGAAATGATTAACCCATCTTCCAAAATTAGTCAAAATGAACAATAAATAAAGGTCTGAATGAAGGACTACTATGAGTTCCTTACAAATGAGTTCAACAAAACATAGAGCATTGAGCTCTTATCACTGTCTTAACGACAACTAAATCTCTAAGTTCGATCAAAGCAAGCGTAAGTAAAAAGAGGATTCCACTACCATCTCAGAATCCGAGCTTCGTGCGACGCCAGTGCCTGCGCTTCGCATTGTACCTGACGAGATATATAAACAAATACATGTAAATATAACAAAATTTCAATTTAGAGAAAATTTAGAGAGAGAAAGTTTGCAACTTTTAACCTTATGGTGTTGTCAGTCCTCATACGGATCCAATAAGGGATGGGTCTGTTCTGCCTCATCTTCTTCGCCAATTTCTTCTTGATCATGAAGGTCTTGTGTGACGGCTTCAAAATACAAACTCATTTTTAGAAAGAGAAATTATAAATATAGAGAGACGAAGAATCCAAATCCGCAAAGAGAGAGACTCACCATTTTCGCGAGCGATTGAAACCGGCCACAAGCTGTGCGAAAACCCTAGGAAATGAAACCCTAGGCTTACGTACAGCTAATTTATAGGGAACTTTTTTTATTTTTTTGTCGAATAATAAAACATCAAATGTAAAAAGACCAAATCCAAACTCCACTTTGGGTTAGTCATTGGGCCTGGTTTGTTTTTCGGTCAGCCTTTCCTTGGGTTTTAGTCAATGGGCTTGGGGTGCCTACTGTGTGTAATTACGTACACTTAAGAACGCACACTTGCAAGAATTGCCAAGGAAAAAAATAAAAAATGTAAAACTCTACTCATTGATAAATCAAATGCTATCATATATCAATTTTTTTGTTTTTTCTAACAAAAAAGAGAGTAAGAATATTATTAATTGCAAGAACTAGAAACACAATTATTGGGATAACGGATTTGAGTACAAGAGGCTACCCTAACCACACCGTCAAAAAGAGGAGGTAATAATAGAGCGTCCAAGTGACACGTCAATTCTATCTAGGGATGGCAACGCGATAGAGTTGGGAAGAATTTAGTTAAATCTTACTTTGCTTCGTTAGAAAATTCGTCATACTAATCTCGGGACTGGTTTATAATTGGTATACCAGTCCCTCCCCTACTCCAACAGAAAAAGTATCGACTTCGCCCCGTGTACTTCGTTTAATTGCGGGACAGGGCGGGTTATGCTACTTTTATTATTTAGTAAAAAAAACAAGCCCAATGTGCTCAAATTGGGTTGATTAATAAGTTGACCCAACTTTTAAATTATTAAGTAATGAATATTAATATATTAATTGATCCAGTAAAGTAACAAAAGTCTTAAAAATATTAAATATATATTTTTTAAAGGTATATATATAATCGGGGCGGGTTTATCACTAAATCCGCCTCCGCCCCAAACTCACTTCTCATTTTTAATTATTTTACCATATCTGCCCCAAACCAATTTAGGGGCTACCAAATCCACCCCATTAAGGGCGAAAACCAATTAGGTTGGAAGAAATTGTCATCCCTAATTCTATCAATAGAGCACTCCTTTATCTAGTAATAAGGCAAACTTAGTCTTGTCGTTCTTCTTGTTGTAATGCCATATAAAAAATAAAATGTAGAGATCAAATTTTTTATCCATTTGAAGAAATTTTGTTTTTCTTCCCCCACTCTCATGGGACCATTTGAAGAATTTGACTTAACTGTAATGGGCTTAAAATTTACTTGTTTAATATGATTTTGGTTATCCTATCAAGGCACATAGAATAGGCCAAATCACATGGAAGATTATACAACCCTTATTTATTATGTATTTGCATTTTAGACCAAAGTCACGAAATATAGTTGCTAAAATTATATCATCTAAAATGTGGACTAGGATCATCTACAGTAAATGGGTCCTATTGTACCCATGCTGTAATGCAAAAATGATTTTTTTTTTAAAATGAGTAACTTTAGAGTCAGACGGAAAAAGGGAACAATGTTAAAAAAATAAAATAGAAAACTACCCAAAAAAAGAAGAAGAAGCAAAATATCCTCTTTGCTTCAGCGCCTCCCTCCCTCGTCACCGTCCCGTCCACCATCTCACTCTCTCGTTACGGTCTACCCCAAACTAGCATACTTCTACTGAGTTATTCCGGCATCACCTCGTCGCTGTCTCACAATTATATTTTCAGGTACTCACCCTTTCTCTCTCTCTCTTTCCTTTTTCATAAACCCAAACTCTCTCGCTCTCTCTTTCTACAAAAATCACATTGAAGCCGTTTCTTTTCGGTTTCAATACCAATTAGAGGTATATCTATCAATCTCTGTGTGTGTGTGTGTGTATATAGTATTGGCTGTTTGTTTATATTAATTTCAATCATTACTATATTATATAATTTGATTCATCATCCATGGCTTTTCTTCATGCCGTTTTAGGTTTGCTTTTTGCTTTTTTTATGTGTTCATGCTTGTTTCGGACTTGTTGATTTTTTATTTTATGTTTGTTCCTATGATTAGATGTGTGTTTTTTGCTATGTATTATCCATTGATTTTTTTAGTTTCTTGTGATTTAATCATTGAAAGTCTGTTTTTTTTTTATTATTATATAAAAAGCTGATAATTAGTAAAAATTAAATGGTCACAGAGGTCGGGATCAAAACCAAGGTCCTGCATCTCAAGTTTATATTTTGAAATTACACAAAATATATGTTGTCTACTATATTGGGTCGACCAAAGTGATGAAAGTTCACGTGTAGAAATTAACTCAGTTTAGGCAACGTGATACAGGGGTGTATTGGGTTCACTTAACCTCATCTAACTTTTATAGGTGTTACGAACATTATTAGTTTGGGAACTTCTGAAATATGTAGTAGCTTGGACTACATTATGTAAGTAAACTTTCTGATTCTGACTTTAAGCTGAAGAACTAAGTTGAAGAACTTTTCATATATCCACCATCTTGATTAGGACTAAGACTAGCGTTATGAACAACCTTTTTTTTTTTTTTTTTTTTTTTTTTTTTTTTTTTTTTAATTTATAGTTTCATGATGGGACGTTCAACTGGTGTAAAACGAAAATATCAAGCTACTTCCTCGAGTCTTGCAGACGTAGAAGATACTCCACATAAGCCGGCCAATTGCTACTTATTATACAGGTACAAATTTTATAAAATATTACTTTGTTAAAATATTTTATGTATATATTTTGTTGTTCTTAATATATTTGCTTTTATGTCATGTTATTAGAAAATATAATTAAAAAAATTGGTACAAATGTGGTGGGGCAAAATAAGGAGTATTCAAAAGAATGGAATTCAATGTCGGAAATTAATAAAAAGCCATTTAGAGATCAATACAAAAAGAATATGGTGTCTTATACTAAGGAAAAAAAAAAAAAAAAAAAGCAGAAAAAGCCTAAGGTAAGAAATTCTACATTGTAAGGGCAGTTGATAGGAATATTCAAGGGGTTGATTACAATTATTTGAAAATTATTATGTATTTATACAATGTGGATCCTTTTAACACTCTGAAAAATAGAATAGTGTCCCCTTTTACAATTTTTTGAAGACTGTTTTGTAGTGTTATATTTGGTTTTCGCTTATCACTGATTATTAATATTATAAATTTATTAGGTAGCACATTTATCAATATACAATTTTTTTTTTTACTTATTATTTTGTAATTTGTTACAAAATAAAAAAGTGAGCACAATGCCGGTGAAATGTACTCACTTGAACCAATATTTTTGTTAGTACCTGATAGAAAATTTTGACGAGCGCAGATGCAGTTTGAGACTTTCTGATGAACTCATTCCGATAACAGCGACAGATGTTGAGCACATTCTTGGGATACCCAATGGTCACTCAGTAATGGTGAACTTAGAAGGAGACAAGGGTATGACCAACTGGAGTTGGGTGAAATAAGGTGGTTTCATGAAGGAAAAAAAAAAAAAAAAAAAAAAGAGTTTGAAGGTTGACAAAATTGGTGTGATGCTTCGAAATTGGGGTGACCGACTCGTTGATGATGATTTTAAGCGACTTTTTTTACTATATGCATGTGGATGCATATTGTTTCCAAACACTGCTTATGAAGTGTCGAAAGACTTTTTTGGAATGGTTGATGATGTGAAGAAGATCAACCAATACAATTGGGTAAAGTGTGTGTTTAATGATTTGGTAAAATGGGTTAATAAATTGAAGACATATAAAAAAAAAAAAAATTGCAATGGTAGTCTATTTTTTTTAAAGGTGTGCATGATCCAAGTGACATAATAAAATTTAATCTTAACTATCAGTTGCATCAATTTATAAGTGGGTTGATGTACATGCAGTTGTTTTATTTGGTTTGTGTTGTTGTCAATTGTCCAAAACCGAACAAGTACCCTAATGTTGCTAGTGATTGGCCTAAACCATTAATTAAGGAGCGCCTAAAATATGAAATGTCTGAATTAGGGCGATTTGGACTCAGAAAGGTAACTTCAAGTTTCTATTCCATGCACAAATGTTTCAAACTATGCCAAATTGTATATTTAATTGAATGATTTCATATTGTCAATAGATTATACCATAAGAGAATGAGGATGACCGGGGGGGGGGGGGGGGGGGAAATATATATTACTTATCACAAAGTTAAACATATCTTACGGCACTACAAATATTTTATTATACTAATTAACTATGTTAAGATGGTTAAATTTTATTTGATTTGAGAAAATCCTTCTATTTGGTTAGTATTTGTTACAATTATTTAAATCAACTAATCTATTCCTTCTAAAAATCTTGTTATATTAATATTTTTATACAGGTTTTGTTAAAGAATTTGGAAAGGGACTTCCATCAAGTCCATCAAATTCAAAGACGTATGAGGACAAACATATCAAAAATTCACTCAAAATTTGGGAAGGCGAACAAATAGCTGCCTCACCTCGATTTGATGGATCTCTTAAAAAAGACGGAAGCAAAGAAAATGCACATGTCCAAATAAAGTATGCATTAAGCCCCGAGGCGCCTGATAAGTAAGTGTACATGTTAAAATATTCAAAAAGTCAAAAATTTATATAATAGTTATCTAATATAAATTTTTGTCTTATATTCTTGGGGAAATATTGGTGGATATTGACAATAATAAAGATAAGAGATGGAGAAAAATGTAGAGAAAGACGGAGATGATTTAAAAATTGAGATAGATATTCAAAATGATAAGGAGATTGAGAAAGAGGAACAACTAATACAATAGTCTGGCCGTATTGTGATAGTTCTTTGTCACCAAGAAAACTCTTTGGTGAAGCCTTCTAAACGGTGCGTGTCAAGCAACCAAGTCGATTCGTAAAATCTGTATTTTGCATTGAATTGGTTAAGAAGCATACAGTTTTCTCTAACAAGTATACGAGGAGAGTATTAAAGTATGCATCAAACCTCAAGGCACTCGATGAGTAAGTATACATGTCCAAATATTGAAAAAGTGTTGGTTATATAATAGTTATCTAATATTCATTTTGTTCTTATATTCTTAGGGAAATATTGGTGGATATGCACGAACATCATTTAAGCCGTGGACAAGACTGGATATTACTGAGTAGAGAATGGATTGATAGCCCGGTCGGTGTTATTGCTTCATGAAATGTATTTATGT